CAAGACTGAAGCAAGAGAAGATTAATGATCCCTTACTTCTTGTTCTAGTAAATGAATGGAAAGAAGGAACCTCGTCTTCGCACTCAATTACCTGTCTGTGGGTAAAGCTGCTGAGGGACTGAACCGGAAGTAAGTCAAGACTGCAGCAAGACAAGATTAACGATCCTTTGATTGAACTCGACGTAAACTATCAGCAGCTTCTTTCCTTCAATCCTTCTTTCACTTCTGAACCGGAAAGAAGTCAAGAGGAAACTTCTATTGCTATTGATTCTTGATCCTTTATAGTGTTTGAAAGAAGAAAGCTAACCCTTTGAAAGAAGAAACCGTCACCCTTACTCTTTTACTCTCTTTCTATAGTGTTTGAAAGAAAATCAATCTGCCATCACCCTTATTCTTCTATTCTATTTCTGCATTCTCCTGAACCTATGGATTCTTTCTTTCTTTGTCGAGTCAGTTAGTTCAATCCGTCACCTAGTAAACCTAGTATCATTGGTTCTTTCTCCTCCTTAAGAGGACATATGTATGGTATGGCCAATTGGGAATCTATTCTTTCACAGTAAACAAAGACTGAAGGAAAGCAGCATTAAACTCTGTAACTGTCAGACTCAACTCTTGATTCATGAGACGTAAAAGAAGGATCTGCTGCTGAACCTATTCCTGATTGTCTGTTGCTGAACGTATTCCTGATTGATTGACTGAACTGAACTCCTTTACTACTTACTCATTCTGCTTATACTTACTCTATTCTATTCCTTGACCTATACTTGAACAGCTCTTTCTCTTTTCTTGCTTTCACTCTTTGACTGACTGCTAAAGTAGCTAATTCAGTTACTCGCCATCTGAAGGTTGAACTAACTAACTATTTTACGGTCTCTGTTTCTTGTTCATTATATTATTCGTTTATAGGTAAATTCAGTGTATTGATTGTTGAGAGTTAGTCTTTCTTTCTTTCTCCTTACTTTACCGGTATTTTAGGCTTAATGTTAATGTAATAAGACTAATGGAAGGAAGTAACTCTTTTACTTCACCTTCTTTGTATGTAACTAAGCTGAGCATAAGGTCAAGCTCCTGCCTGTACGTAACCTATTCTATTTCTATTGATAAAGAAAGTTGCAGCTAATGAATTAACTAACTCTTTCACTTCCAACTCTATCCGAGCATATTCTCTCCCTCCTGTCCTTTATTGAACTTCTATCTACTCTACTGCTAAACTCCTAATTCATACAATTTTTCACTCGTTAAGTAGTATTAGTCAGTAGTAGTTAGTCTTTCCCCTGCCCCTCAGTCTGTCAGCTTGGTTGGCTCTTGAAACTGATTGAAGTAATTAAATTACATTCATTGCCTGTACTATGTTGTACTTCTGCTCCTGATTGAAGTAAGTAACTGGTAGTTGTCTTTCTCCGACCTGTCTGTCCAACTCTTCTTGAACAGGTCCAATCCTTAACTACTTCTTTTTCCTTAGTTAGACTAAAGAACGTATTTGATACAAGATTCATTCTACTCCTGATTGAAGAAGGTGTAAAGCTGCTTCTTCTCTTTACGATTCTTCTTTTTCTCAGATCCTAAACTACATGTTCCTGACCTACTACTGTTTATGATCCTATACTACTGAACGCACTTCTCTTCTTTCTTGCTTGCTGGGTTGGAAGGACTAAGTAAAGACGAAAGAGAAAGCTAGCTAGCTACTGAACTTCACTTCCAACTCTTACACTTACTACTGACTACTTTCACTTCTTCTCTCTCCTTACTGTACTGACATTACACTTCCAACAGTCTACTCATTAAGCTCTATTCATTCCCTGACGTGAACCTATGTATGTTACTATTGTACTTCCTTCCTTGCAATCCTCTAAGTAACCTTACTTAACCTGACGAGCAAGAGAACAACACATTTACATTACGGAAGGGTAAAGCCCTAGCTAGTCATGAAAGAACAACAACGTTTACATTACAGAAGGGTAAAGTCCTCTCTTCTCAAGAGAACAACAAAACAACAAGATTATTACATTAGAGGAAAGAAGGTAAAGCTCAAGCTCATTCACTTCTAGAGCACAACAACAACAAGATAAGATTATTACATTAGAGGAAGGGGAAAGAAGGGCAGGCAAGTCCTCTCTTATACTCTCTTCTAAGTCACCTCTGGAGCAACCAAGACAACAACATTCGTTACATACAGGAAGGGGGCGGTAAGGCTTACCTGACGTAATGAGAAAGCAAGCTGCAGGCAAGCAACAACAATATATATATTCATTACAGGAAAGAAGGGGTAAAGCTAATCATTACATTACAAGCCGGAAGGGGTAAAGCTAACCTCTCTAACGTCTCTAGCAAGACAACTACATTTACATTAAAGGCAGGAAGCAGTAAAGCTTACCTGACGTGACGAACAACTACATTAGTTTAACAGGAAGGTGGTAAAGCTTACCTGACGTCATGAACACAACAACTACATTAGTTTAACAGGAAGGTGGTAAAGCTTCCCTGACGTCTAACAACAACAACAATATTTACATTACGGAAAAGCTTACCCCTAGTGACGAGAAAGACAAACAACAAGACAACATTCATTACATACAGAAAGCTAAGTTCACTCACTCACACCTATAGAGCAAGCAACCAACCAAGACAGACAACAACATGAATTACAAACAGAAAGGTAAACTCATGAACCTACAAACACTACAACAACAACATTCTTTACAGACAAACAAGGTAAAACTTATCTCTTGTCTAACAACAAATAGAAATACAATAAAACAACATTGATATATCTTCCCGGACCACTTACTCTATTTCTTGATTGAAAAACAACTAAATATTGATGACTAAAATGACTAAATATTGCTGAATTAGAGTTCTCTGTCAGACTCTCTCTCCTGCTCCTGTTCAAGTGTTTTTTAAATCAAAGTAACTGCAAGAAACCTATAGTATTTGTTTCAATCCTTAAGAGAAAGGCTTAAACCAAGATGCGTAAACTAACTCTTTCCCCTTCCCCGTAACCAGATTTGATTGAATTAGTATTCTTTATTTACCTTTAACTGTCAAAGGATTCCTTCCTTTAAGAAAGCTTGGTATTCGTTATTCTCTCTTCTTGGTCGGTCTAGCTGCTTCGCACCTTAGCTAAGGTTTTGTCTGTCCCCTTCACTACTTCTTTCACCGTCTTTCCTCTCCGGACGTAACCATTTCTTGATAGATTAGGACTTAACTAACTACTCTCTCTAGACAGAACAACTCTTTCCTTTGTCCCTGATGGAACTGTAAGAGGGTCAAGCTCATGAACTACTGAACCTCTATTAATGGAACCTCATAAACAAGGCTTTAACTATTCAAGAACAAGAGAAAGCAGTCTTCAGGTCTCTTTCTTTCTTTGCCTGTATTTGTGTTATTCTCAATCCTGAGGCTCTACAGGAAGCTCTCATGGGTTCTTTCTACTTACACTGAAGAGGAAGTGAAGGTAAGCTCATTCATGATCCTATCCTTGAACAAGTCAACACTATACTCTTGGATTTCTTCTCCTTAACTCCTTACACCTGACCTGAAACCACTACAAGTGTCTTCGCTCAGATTCCTAGTTAGTTCACTCCTATACCTATCTTTTGCTTATTCCTTTACAGTACAAGAGTAAAGGGAAAGAAAGAAGGAAGGATTAATCAGACTTGCTAAGAGAGCTACTTCTTCTCTCTTCTGATTGAACAAAGTAAAGAAAGACTACTTGATTTGCTCCTCTTGCCCACCTCTATACAACTACATCAAGGCTAACTACAACAAGGGTTGAACTCAGTATGTATTACCTGAGCTACTTTATTCAATCCTCAAGAAAGCTCTTACCTAACCCTACTACTTACTCATTCCGCTTATACTCTGTCTATCTATGATATTACCTTCTAGTATGTACCCTTTGAGTATGTATTGTATCTTGTTACCTTTTGAGTATATTGTTATCTTTTGAGTATACTGAACAACAAAGACTGACTAAAGATTCATTATCTTCACCTTAAACCTAAAGAAGAACTGTAAAGACTAAAGCCAGAGAGTTTACTGTCTCATATTCAATACTTGCCCTATGCTTTCTTTACAGTCTTTGAAAGAAGGGAGACTAAAGCTTCATGAAACAAATTGAACTCCGTAGCATAGAATAGGTGTTTTGAACTACTGAACCAACAAGTCAAGAAGAAAGAAGGAGGCAGACTGAAGAACCATTAATTCATTCCCCTTGTTCTTTCCTCGGTAGGTAAATAGAATAGAAAGAATAGTTTACAGCGGGAAGTAAGTAGGTGATACTGATACTGAAAGTCAAGACTAAAGAAAGCCAGCCAGAGAGTTTATTGTCTTTGAAAGACTGACTGCTGAACCGACACCCTTGGCTACTGAACCTGAACCTCTATTACTTGATTGAACAATTGAAGAATATAAAGCATTCTTTCTCTTCCCCGACCTTATACTATTGATTGAAAGAAAGACTAACTAACGATTGAAGAATGATCCATCACTCCTCTCTACCTATTTCTTCTGTCACTGTAAACTCATGAACAACTACTTCCTTCACCTTCTCTTCTCTTTCTGCTTATTAATCAAGGACTGTGACAACTAAAGATTAATTAAATTAGTTGCTGCTTTACAGTAGAGTAAGTAAATGAACTCTGGAACCGTAATTGAACCTATACAGTCTTTGTTTGATTTCAGGTAGAGTAAATCCTCAAGATTCATTCTTGTTTACGAACTTCACTCCTTCACGAATAGATAGATAGCTATGACCTTCCTTTGCCGAGCTAGCTTTAGCTTTCTTTGACTAGTAGTCCTTCCTCAACCTCTTAAACCTTTTCTTGACAAAAAGAGATGGTTCCATGTGCTCTTATTCATTCAACAAAGTAAACAAGGTAAGGTAATCAAGGATATTCTATTCATTTATTCGATCTCCCTGATAGAACTGTAGTAAACGAGGCTTAACTCACTCCTTTTCTTTAACTCTTTCTTTTGGTAATACAGAATAGGTGTTGAACTCTTCTTCTTTAACTAACTAATTGACTCTTCTCCTGTAAAGAAAGACTGACTAAAGATTCGTTATCCTTCACGGGCGGGAGGAACCTCTACTCTCGAGTTGCTTTGCTGCTATACCTATTCCGGAATAGTAAACACTCAATAATGGAATGAATAACCTCTCCTTCGCAGCCCTTCGACTCTAACTCACTCTAAACTGCTTGCTGGCTTATTTACGATTCATTCCTTCTTAACGGTTCCCCTTTCTTTGATTGACTCTATTAGTCCCGTCAGTTGTTCTTTCATTCACTCTTTCTTTTACTCTACTGTAAAGACTCAAGGAAAAGAGGAGGATCGATTCGTTCCTGAACTACTAAATCTGATGTAACTCAGTAATTCTCGGAAGTCAAGAAACAAGAGAGAGAAAGAAACCCTGATTCTTCTTTCTTCCCCTTAACTGAATGACTTCTCCAACACTCTGTAATCTGTAAATAGATAGTATTCCTCTGACCTGAACTGAATCACTACTGAAGGAACCTTCTTTCATTCATTCAACCACTTTGTAAATAGATAGTATTCCCTTTCACTCACCTTTAATGATCCTTCGGCAGGAAGTCAAGCCTAAAAAACTGACACTCTTTGATTGACTGAACTGAACTCCTATACTCTCTATAGCTGGTAAAGCAGCTAATTAATTGACTTTACTCGCCGACTGAAGGGGAAGGGTTGGTTTCACTACTTCTTTCTCCGTTCTTGTTGTTTGATATTCTCTTTACTTTCAATCCTGAACTCCTTATGACTGAGAGTGAACTAACTTCTCTTTCTCTTCTAACTAACTACTGTACTAAGACTTCCTATTCCTATTCCTCCTGTAGGATGATTCTTGACTTCACTCTTTTACTCGACAGTAAACAAAGGGATGTAAGAGAATGCTGCGGCTGAACCTGATACTCTCTTCTATTCTATTCTTTGCACTCAGTAATAAATAGGTTAAAGCATGTTACTTTACGGTCTCACTGCTTTGCTCCTTCTTTTCGTGAAGAATAAAGATTAATGGATTGAACGAGGTAAGGTAAACACAGGCCGATTCCCCTATTATTTATTCATAGTAAGTAAGTAAACAAAGACAGACTCAACCTTAACAAATCTTTCACCTGCCCCTCTCTTATTCTATTCCCTCACCTGACTGGAAGGAGGTAAAGTCAAGCTATTTAAAGAAGAACCTGAACCTGATTGAACCTATAAGGAAGGGATATTCAATTAATTAGCAGTAGCAGCTTTGAAAGACTGAACCTTAACCGACTATCCGTACAGTCTTTGTTTGAAAGAAGGGAGAGGAAAGAAAAGAGACCGAGTGAAAGAGTGAAAGACTAACTCATAAGAAAATCTAGTAATAGAGGGGCAGCCGGAGCTCTCCTGTCAAGCTGCTAATTCATTCACTCTCCATTCACCTATCGGTTTCACCCATTGCCTGAACTGTAAAGGAGAAGGAATCTTTCGGCCCTTACTTACTGTTTCGGAGAATGAATGTTTTATTTTCTTCTTCAATCAATTATCTTCTCTTGTATGTAAAGCTGCTAATTCATAAGGAGTTGAGTCTCATTAAGCTTGTCTTTCTTTCATCTCTTTCCTTCCGGTTCCAGATTGAACTGGAAAGCTGCTAATGAATTTACTCTACCTTCAAAGACTTCCAACTCTAATTCTTGTTGAGTCTTTAATTACAGAGAGTTCCGGATCAAGAATCTATAGGGGAATAGAGGTGAGTTCAGTATTAGTAGTTCAGTTCGTAAACTCTTGAGTCTTTGTTTAAGAAGTAGAATTCAGCCTCAAATCCCGGGAAAGTCAGGATAATGGATAAGGTGGCAGTAGAGTCAATTCAGTAGCTAAGGGAATATCAGAAAGAAAAGGGAGAAGACGAGGCAATGGAATTCCTTTACCTTGTGAAAGAAGCGAGAGGAGCGAAGCAAGTAGTGAGACAAGGAACCGGGGCGAGGAGTTCAGCCTCGAACAAGAATAAATAGGAAAAGGAGTTCACTCTTCATTAATCTTTGCTTCTTCTTTTACAGTTCAGGTAGAGTAAGTAAATGAATTAGTAGCTTTACCTCACTCATTAAATAAGACAAGGGCATATCGGAGAAGAAAAGGTTATTACGGAGCTTGGGGAGAGGAAAAGGAAGAGAACCCATCCTCCTGTTTACCGAGTGAAAGAATAAATAGTCAAAGGGGAAGGTTCAGAGAAAGAATGAATCTTGAGTAGATAGAGTCTTTCCTTTCTTACAGTTGAGTAAAAGAGTGAAAGAAGGAAAAGGTGAAGAAGTAAGTGAGAGAGGATATCTGTTAAAGAATGAATCTTAAGTCTTGACTTCCTTAAGAACGAAAGAAGGTGAATGAGTTTACAAGATTGAATATGAATTGACTCCACTGGAAAGGATAGGGGAGAGAGCTGCAAGGAATTGACCCGAATGACTAAGGAAGGAGTATTTATCCTTTTCTCTTACCTTGTTCCATCTGTCAAATGAATAAGGAGGATTGACTTCAGAATTACCGAGTGAAAGAAAAGAGACCCATAAGGATAGGTTCCATCAGGTTCGTTCAGTAGTTCAGGAATAGGAATAGAAAAAGAATAAAGAGGTGAGAAGGGGAATTAATCTTGTTGAGTTGAGTCTTGAAAAGCTGCTAATTGATTCTGGAACTGGAAAGGATAGGTAGGTTCCGGTTCAGGCAATGGAAAGATCGAGTTGAAGGGAGAGGCGAATGAGCGAAGCAATGAGTAAGTAGCTCGAGGAGTGAAAGAAGGGACAGGTTCTAGCAAATCTTTCTTTCTCTTCGGTTACAGTGTTTGAATCAATAGGGCCAGGTTCCCGATCATGAATCTCTTTTCTTACAGTTTACATCTAGTAATAGAGTAGAAGAAACGATTCTGGTTCAGTAGTAGTTCAGTCTCATTCTTGTTGAGTTGAGTGTTTACAGTTCAGGGGAAGGATCAGAGAAAGAAATAGAGGTTCAGGTTTAAGGTTGAGGCTTTCTCTTTCCGGTTTCACTATCTCTTTTCAAACACTTGGTAAATAGGGTAGGGTCATATAGGTTCCGGTTCAAGTTTATTAATAGGAGAAAGTAGCTCTTTTTCGCTTGAGTCTTTGGTTATAGTGAAAGATTGAATGAAAGAATAAATAGGAGCTGGAGGGAAGGATCATTCTTTTCTAAAGGGTTACGGAGGAAGGGACAGACAGGAGAGAATATGCTCAGACAGGGGAAGGAGGTTACAGTGAAAGAAGGCAATAAATAGAGTATAAGGTGAGTGAAGTAGTTCAATCAGGTTCAGAAGTAAGTAATAGTCCAGGCAATGAGATAAGATGATCGATTTGTCCGCTGCTTTACCTTGTTCAATCAGGTGAATGAGCTTGACCTTTCATCTAGGCCCTATTTACCAAGTTCAATCAGGGAATAAAACAAAGAAAGCTAGCTCGCTCGGCAAGAGAAGGTCATATCGCGGTGAGGGGGAAGTAGTTCAAGCAAGAAGGAAGAAGTAGTTCAAGCAAGAAGGAAAAGGTTTAAGGGAGAGGAGAATTAATCAAAGGTGTAGGAGTTCTGTCTCATTCATCTTTCTTTCGTATTTCTCTTTTTCTTTTAAGCTTGTTCAACCTGGTCAGGTCATATGGGTGAAGTAGCTCAGCGAATAGGGCTTCTAGTTACGTATAGAAGCTGATAGTTTAGGAGGGTCAGTCTCATTAATGATTCTTCTTTTCTTCCTGTTCAGTAGCTAATTCATTTAGTCAAACATAGACAGTAGAGGATAGGTTCAATCAGGTGAATGGAGAGTCCATTCTTCATTAGCTGCTTGACCGAGTTCACATCCTACAGCCGCTTTACCGAGGTTACTGTTCAAGAATAAATAGGTGAAAGAATAAATAAATATAAATAGGTTATTGAGTGAATGAAGGAGTAAAGAACCAAGCAGTGAGAGAGAGAGAGAGACTCGAACGAAGGAAGAGGATTTCATTGACTCAACTGGAAAGGAGCAAAGCCACCTTGTTTACAGTGTTTGAAGGATTGAAGGAGGGAGAGAAGCTAAGCTGCTTTACCGAGTTCAAGAGTGAAATGACCCAAAACATAGGGGGAGGCGAACAATGTTCAAGAAGAAATAGGTTCCGGTTCAGGATTGAATGAATTTACGACTGTCAAGTCTCATTCATCTCTTTTCTTTTACCCACAGTAAAGGGTCAGGAGTTAAGTCGAATTAATCTTGTCCGAGTCTTCTTCTCCCCTACCTGAATTTATTCAAACACGGTAAACTCGACTATTAAAAGGTTTCGGATTGAATGAATAAGGGAAATAGGTTCAGGGAAGGTCATAGAGGTTTAGTCTCATTAATCTTTCATTGTTCAATCACAATCAGGTAAAAGGGAATAGAGTATAAGGTTCCGGTTCAGGGGAAGGTTCCGTCATTCATTTACTCTTTTGTTCCGGATCATACATAATAGCTTTAGAGTGAAAGGTTCACAATCACTTCCTGTTCAGTCTCATTCATTTGATAAAGGTAAAGGAGAGAGAGTGAAAGGATTTAATCTGAATTGACACTCTCCTATCAAGGTTAAGGTTAAGGTTCAGTCTCATTCTTCTTTCGTCTTGAAAAACAGCTAATTCATTTCTTCTTGAACTGTAAACAAGGATAGATAGTCAAAGGGTTTTGGTTCTGGTTCAGGTTTCTTCTTTCATTCATTTCCTCTCCTGTAAAGTGAAGGGAAGGGAAGGTCATAGAGGTTCCGGTCAGGGAATAAAGGATTAGGGGCATCAGCGACCAGAAGGGGTTTCTTCCATCTGTTGGAGAAGTGGCTATTAAAATGAGAGGTCCAATGGAATGTGTGCGCAATCCTTTCGTTTGAAAGAATGCTGGGTTGTTTACGGCACAAGAACTTGGTTCAACTTTAAGGATGGTGCTGTTCAGATACTGAGTGAGTCCTGGTTTCTTATTACTTACCCAATGGAAGCCTCAGCAATATTCTCCACAGAAACTCCAATTCGACGAGAGTCCTGTCA